GGCGGCGGCGGCGTCTGCCCAGCCTGAGGCAGAGGCGAGGAGGGAGCTGGCTCCTCCGAGAGTGTGATGGGCGAGCCGGGCGGATTGATGCACCCCGGAGAGGGTGTCAACTTTGCAGTGGCACTGGTGCACAACGCAGACAAGGAGGATGAGTAAGAGCCGGTTTCCATGGGAACAGTTGGGCCCATGGACGGTGCGGAGGCGGAGAAGGAGGAGGCAGAAGAGACAGATCTGAGACAGCCGGTCATGAGGGCTTGGGATGAGATGCTGGCGGGTGTGGAGGCGAGGAGGGAGGCGTGAGAAGAGGAGGCGAAAGAGGCGGAAGAAGAGAGTGAAGAGGCGATCACTTTGCCCAGCTTGCCTCGCATGCTAACAGCTGAGAGAGCTGTTGAAGAGGACGGGTCGAGTGTCGTCAAGGCGGCGGAAGGAGCGAAAGGAGCGGAAGGAGCGGAAGAAGCAGAGCCGGAAACGTGTGAAGCTCGTAGAAGGAGGGCTGCAGCCGCGGCGCGAGTAGGGTCTAGCTTGGCCAGTGCAGGAGGAAGACAAGAGTTGGAAACGGAGATGGTGGTGGTGGTGGTGGAGCAGGAGGAGGAACAGGAAGAGGCGGAGGAGGAAGAGGAAGATGAGGAGGATAAGGTGGAGGAGAAGGAAGAAGAGGAGGAAGCGGAGGAGGAAGAGGAGGAGCATGACGAGGAAGAGGAGGAGACGGAGGAGCAAGTGGACGAAGAAGAGGGCGACGTCGAAGCTTCGTTGATCGCCATCATCATCATCATCATTAGTTGTTGTTGTTTCTGTTGTTGGGACTGCGTCTGACACAGCTGGCCTGTGGGCCCGGGCGAGACGGAGGCAGCTGAGGCGATGGGCGGTGGAGGCGGGAGAAAAGAGGCCGCCGTCGTCATGCACATGGTCGTAGTCGGCGGTGCAGGCGGTGCGGGTGGTGCGAGTCCCGACGTCGTGGTGACTGGGCCAGAGGCGAGCGCAACCAACAACCGCTGCAGCGCCATCAAATCGGGCGGACTAGGAGCAGCGGTGGTGGGGATGGCGGGGCCAGGCGACCCGCTGCCGCTACAGCCGCCGCCGCCGCCGCCACCGCCACCGCCGCCGCCGCAGCCGAGACCCAAAAGGCCCAGACCGGGCGAGAAGAGTCCAGCGGCGGTTGCCATGGGCCCGGCACCAATGGGTGCTTCGAATGCGGAGCAGACGTTTGGGTCGGTCTGTCTGGTGGCATGAAGGATGGCGGTGAGGAGGGTGGAGACGGCGGCATCTTCGGAGAGACAGTGTCCGCCGGGCGACGGTTGCCGGGCCAGAAAGGCGGTGAGAGCCGCAGTTGCCTCGGTAACTGGCAGCCGACCGGCGCCGACGAGCTCGGCCAGTCCGGCTGCGGGGCTGGGGCTGTCCGAGGGGGTGGAGAGTGGCCGAGGACTGTGGACGTCGCCGGCCGAGGCCGACGTGAAGTTGGCCAGTCCGGGCAGCAACAGACCGATCGGGCAACCGGACGACTCGCCGGACACACCGACACAGTTGCCGCCGCCCGTCAGACTGGCTCTTCTTGTCTCGGACAACAGCGGCGCCTCGGCGACCGCGGCAAGATTGCCTTGAGAGAGGCGACGCGATGGCAACGCCAGCGGCCGGCCGGTGTCAACGTCGTAGCCGATGCTGGCGCTGGCGTTGGCGCTGGTGCTGGTGCTGGTGCTGGTGCTGAGAGAAGAGGAGACGGAGGCGGCACTTGTCAGCATGCGGGTCGGTGTGGGCGTTTGGTTGCCGGGGCCGGTGGTGAAGATGACTTCACGGGCCGTGAAAGGCAGATCGGGCGACAGGTTGAAGGCGAGCTTGAGGGCGTGCAGTTCTTCACGAAGTTGGTCGTTTTGTGTCGTCAGCTCAGCGATCTGTTGCTCCATCAGAACGTCGTTCATGCGTCGCTTCTCTCGCGACCGTTTCGCCGCCTCGTTGTTCTTGCGTCGGCGCTCCCAGTAGCGCTCGTCCTTTTTCGCGTCCGGAATGAACTCGCGCTGCTTCCTGTCAATCCCGCCGGTCGCCATGGCGCCTGAGCCCAACTGGCCCAACTGGCTCATGTGCACCGAGCCGCCGGGCAGACTGGCGTCGGAAGAGTTGCTGGAACCGGGCGTGCCCATGCTGGCGCGTTGGTAGGCCGGCGACAGCTGCATTTGCCCATGTTGGTGCATCTGCGAGTTGGCCGACGAGTGCTGGTTGTGGTTGTGGTTGTGGTTGTGGTTGTGCACGTGATTGTGTCCGTGATTGTGTCCGTGAGTATGGCTGTGGCTGTGATGGTGACGATGCTGCGAGCCCGACTGGCTGTAGACGGCGTGTCGCGGTGCCGACAAGCCGACGCA